CACACACACACACACACACACACACACACACACAACCTCTACAGCTATGGAACCCAGCGCTTTTGACTGCCCTACCAACTGCCTCTCAGCCTCACCCGACAAACACACACACACACATACAAGCTCTACAGCTATGGCACCCAGTGCCTTTGACTGCCCTATGAACTGCCTCTCAGCCTCACACACACACACACACACACACACACACACACACACACACACACACAAGCTCTACAGCTATGGCACCCAGCACCTTCGACTGCCCTGCGAACTGCCTCTCGGACTCACCCAACACTTGACTGCACAAGACTGCACCAGCGCTTCCACAACAGGCTTGAATGCAAGTTCTGCTGTCGCTTGGCTGCCGTAGGACTTTTGCACTCATCTGCAGCTCCCAATCTTCGACCTTTCGACTGGTACTGAGTCTCCAGGCACAGCTATCTTTTGATGCATCCAGATATAAACTGATCAGAGCAGATACCACACTTGATCTTAGTGAAAAGGCCGAGAAAGATATGAGTTCAGCAAGTGTCGCATTTGAGTTTTGCATTATGAATACATCAGGATCATAACACTATAGTACATGGGACACTGGGAGTCTGGGACACTGGGACTCTCGGACTTTGGGACTCCAAGACTTCGACGCTGAGAGGCTTGAAATCCTTTCATTATATCAATTATTATTATTATTATTATTATTATTATTATTATTATTATTATTATTTAAATATAAATAGGTCCTTATGGCTTTGGCTCCATTTCCATTCTGGAGAGCATCTGTCCGGTTCCTATTCCACCGGCAAGTCAGGAGAATATTACATCATAGAACTCACACACGCTTCCTTCTGTCTGGCCGAAGGAACCCTGATCAGCATTGATTACTCCAACATGGACGAGGATTGACTGTCAGCTTGCCCTGCTTACACCTTTCCTCTCAGGACTACTATATCAATTATTATTATTGTATTGAATTATAATTCATTGCAGAATGCAAGGCTTTTCTCTGAATGATGCCTCCCCTACTCACTGGATCAATGACACATCCCAGAACTTGTTGATGATGGCCGTTTCCAAAACCAACTTGGCAGGAAAATACACGTCAGCCAGCTCCAGACAGCGAATCACGACCAACGCATCCAATCTTGATGACGCGCTTTTCTGCAGATCAGCCTCAATGACGCTGAAGTACAAACTTGCTGCAAAACAGCGGGGGAAAGAACAGAGTAGTTCATCAACACAGCGGAAAAAGAAAGAAGTTCAACATAGTTCATCAAAACAGCGAATCATTCCTTGTAGTGATGACAACGGGTTAAACCACCTGCTGCGACAACTGCAAGGAATATAAGCGAGAACAATAGACAGAAATCCAAGTTGCAAAATCACGAAGTAGTCCAGATAGACATATACCAAGCAGAGAGCACAATGCACCAAGATACCATCCAAATAAGAGCAATGCAATGAACTTGAGTGCCCATGCCGACGCGCTCTGATCACACCAACACTGTATCCAATGTCGCTCCTACTGTCTGGCGCCCAGTGCCCAGCCTATACCACTCAGCCTAACTAACCTATCTACATTCATGCAACTGGATCACATCGAAGTTGAAGACCAATGTACGTGACGTCATCGCCAACGCTGACCACCAGCATACACCAGGTACATTCTCTCTCCTCCCATCGTCACCCCTCGACTCGCCACTACATGCGCCCCCTACCCGAAGACCACCAGCACCAGCACCCGCACGCTCGGCCCGGCTATGGCCGCCGTGTGCCCACTGCCATCGCAGTGCCCTCTCGCTTCTTAGCGCTCGCCCCAGCCTGCCTGCATAGCGCAGCGTCGCACGGCAAAGCAGCAGCGTGGCCTCAATGCCTGCTCAGGCCAGAATGCCCTCCCAGCGGGCACACACTTTCCTCTATGGAAAGTGTGTCCGCTGCTGGCTGGCATGGCCAGGCGTGTGGGTGCCCAGTAGCTTGCCTCTGGCCCCAAGTGTCTCCGCCCAGGCCCAGTTTCAGATACTGGCCTGGGCCTCGTGCAGTTAGGCACGTCCAGGCAGCCTCCCAGCCTCCAAGTGTTTGCAGCATTCCCATTGGCTCGCGGCTCATGTGTGACGACAATGCTGCTTTCTCATTGGCTTGTGCCCAGTCGGTGATGTGTCGGCCTCACAACCAACTGAGACCTGGGCTCAATTGTACAGCGCAGCCCTTTGCTTCTGGAAAGGGCCTGGAGGCTCACGTTGCTCTGTAACCAACTGGCGTGCTGCAACTGTCTGAGTACCCACGTATGGAAAAATGTTGAAACAGGCCTCGCGGGAATACTCAGGCCCGCCTTCACTTAGGGCCGGCACTGGCTTGCTGGGGGCCGCAGCCGGGGGAACACTTGTATGTCTGACGAGGGCCCCACGAGGGCTCATTCCTCGCACAACCAACTTCCTTCCAATAAAATGCACAGTCATTATAGCTTTACATGGGGCAACTTTAGGGCCATACTCACACCAGGACTTCACCAAATGTATCTGACTGCAATTAGAGCCAGAACTGGACGAATCTGACTGCAATCACGTCCAGAGCTTAATTGAAAAACGGCCAGAGCTGGATGGATCTGACTGCAATCACGTCCAGAGCTTAGTAGAAAAACTCCTAGTGCGAGTATGCCCTCAGTCTAGACAAAGCAATAGAAGTCAAGCAGATGGCTCAACAACACCAGCTTCTAACCCAAAAAACAAAAACAAGAAAAAAAAACAGTCAATCATTGTATGCAATCCAACAACTCCTAGACCCCCTCAACTTAGAAAAGAAGAAGAAGAAGAAATACCTTTCTCGACCTTTTCGCTAAGATCAAGCGTCGTACCTGATCTGCTCAGTTTAAACATCTGATCCATGGTCCAATGGACCACACACACACACACACAAAAAAAAAAAAAAAAGAAGAAGGCAAGAAGAAAAATAAAGAAAAAAACTCAAAAACTAATAGACAAAAGCAATGGAAGCCGGTAGCCCTCCACTAAGAAGAGGAGAACAGAAAAGAAAAGAAAAAACTAACAACAACAGTCATAAATATGACAGAGAATATAAATATACTGCCAGATGGCAAGATCCGTATGGGCGACAATCTTTACCGGGCAGCTCTGTTTGACGATATATAGTCAAACAGAACTGACCAGTAAACCATAAGCACAGACGGAGAAGAGGACAGACAAACGATAGGCTGTGGCATACTATTTTGCCGGAGTTTCATCGTCTCGTCAGGAGGCTGAATCTATAATTAATAGTTATACATACATAGCCGTGCCAGACATGTGAGCACGGCACAGAGAATTGTTGTTGTTGTTGATTTTCCCCTTGCTTGCCTCAGTCAGTTTCCCCATCTGTCGTCTACTTGCCTAACTTGTCATTTCTCTCCAAATTGTGGATAATGATTTCTGCAACATCCATAGCACCTCCAATCCTCATCAGCATCGCGCGAAGTTTTCTAATTCCTGCTTCAGTCAAGTCTGTCCATTTCACAAGACCACACGCACAAACAACAAGCTTAGGAACAGCTATCAGATAAATTGGAATTATTACTTTTATTATAATTTTATAATTTTTATTACGAATGATTTATTACTTTCTTATTACAAAACGATTTATTATTATGAACCACTACCAATCCCCGTGGTGGGCTTTCGCCTGCACAAATTTGGCAAAAGGACGTGCGATAAAGATTAGGATATAACAGGTCACGAATGACACCCCTTGGCGGAAAGACTGTCCTCGGGGTTGTCACAAGCCATCCGATCCCCTCACTGGTTGAGCACGACAACATACGACGACAGTCACCTCCCAAGGCCTAGCATCCACCCTCGACTACGACATGGACCCTTTAAAAAAAAAAAAAAAAAAAAAGGAAACCTTCTTTGTCAGTTTGGGAATCACAAAAAATAAGTTGCGAGCACATTTGATACGGAAAAAAAAAAGCATAAAAAAATATTTCAATCTGTACTTTTCGCAATTTTTTTCATACGATAAAAACGGGGCAATAAAAAATCATATGCAGTTGGGGGGAGAGGGAAACCGTGACCTTTTGGCTGTGATGTGTAGACAGGAAATCAATATATGAAGTGGAGGGGAGGCTTTCCCCCTCCCAATCAGTCGGACTGTGACACATAGACACGAAATGTATGTTTTCTTCTTTAAGCAGCCAGGTTTGGGGGGGAAGGCTAGACAGGAAACTGAAGTTTTTTTCTTCTTTTTATATGCAGCGCGAAGGGGGCGTCGAGCACCCCCACCTCATCAGTCAGACTGCAACCTTTTCACTGTGACACAGACACAACAAATGTATACGTTGGTTTCCATTACAAGCAGCACGGACGGGGTTCCAATCACCCTTGTCGCACCTGCCTGCCCCACAGCCCCTGCAGATCAGTCAGACTGTCACACGGAAATTAATGTTTCTTTTTTAATATATCTGGCATTGGGGTGGGGTGAGTGCCCCCCCCCCAACAATCCCATCAATCACACTGTGATCTTTCGGTTGTGTCATGTGAACAGCAAATGTATGCTCTCTCTCTCTCTCTCTCTCTCTCTCTCTCTCTCTCTCTCTCTCTCACATACAGATTCTATAGTTGATTGTATTTCTACCGAGACAAATCGTGAACTCAAATAGAACGCAACAATATTTTCTGTCAAATTCAGGATTCATCCAGAAAAAGAAACACTGCAACATACTTTACTGAATTCGCAATTCATACCGATAAAGATAAAATAAAATAACGTCTATATATACTCTATATACCATGAAATGGAACTGCCCAGTAAACTATAGGCAGAGAGGGAGAAGAGGACAGCAAACAAAGGGCTGTGACTGTGTGACAGACATTGAAGAGTAATTCTTCAGAACACACCCTCGTCCAAGATACCTTGCGGAATTTAGTTCCAATTTTTTTTAACAGTAAAAATCTTTCGCAGAGTCATAAGAACGGCAAACACTAAATAGGGTCTTTTTTTTTTTGAATCCCCTACCACCTAAGGCAGCCCATTAGAGGAGACATCCCCTCCCTCGAATTTGTATCCTTAATAGTGTCCCAACCCTCCCCCTCCTTCCCCCCCAGTCGCAAACCCCGCCTCCACCCCTAACATCATCAGCAAACCCTGTTCTAAAAACTTAGAAAGTGGTTGCGGGGGTTTGGGGCACATCCGCAAGGCTGTCCCAGGGCCCGTTTCATGAGAGACTGGCTCGACCAGTCTCCAGGGACTAGTCAGAAACCGCCGACCGGTCGGCTGCACAACGGTCAGCGCCACAGCGGTCCGTGGTGGGCAGCATCGGGGCAACCCTGCTTGCAACTAATTTCTCAACCAGACTTAGCACACCCGGGCCTGGAGGCGCTCCACTGCGCGCCAAGCTTTGCCCAACCGCCAGCGCCGCACTTTTTTTCTTTTTTGGCTGGCACGGCCAGCCACTGTAGTCCCATAGGCCCGAGGCACAAAATTTCCGGAGTACGTGATGAAACTTTCTGCAAGTAGACGCAGTTTTAGACGTAGGCATAGACACAGACGTAGGCATAGGCGAAGTTTTGTAGCTGTAGCTGTAGAATTAGGCTTTGCAGCCTCAGAGCTGCTGGGTTGAAAAAGACCCGCAGGCATAGCCTGTAAGCTAAGCTGGATGATGATTCCAGCACGTTGCATCCAGGAGTAATGTAGAGGTCCCCCCGGCCTCTGATGAAATTTTGGAATGGATTTGAATTCAAAAAAAAAAAAAAAAAAAAAAAAAAAAACTTTCTGCAAGGCTGGGGCCGTGTAAAAGCGAGATTTACAGTCCATCTCTCGCAGCGGGGTTTGCAAATTGAATTGTCATGCATAAGATGCAAGTGGGCTTTTGAATCAACAGTTCATCTGTGGTACGACTAGAATCTGGGACTGGTGGAAGGGGTTCTGGGACGATATTTCTGGTGGATGTCTATCATGGGATCGTGACTGGGTGTTGTTGGGAGGCTTACCGGATAATCTGCAACTCAACGAGGGCTGGGGCTACGTTGCCCAAGCAGCCCGGGCTGTAGGTTGTGATGTTATTTGGAAAGGCAGAAACAAGTTTGTGTTTGAAGGCTTGGAAATGACCAACAAAGAAGTCAGAGCTGTGTTCAGAGGCTCCCTGCGACGCATCATTCAGGCAGATTGGCGGAGAAAGGGTGGCTCGAGATCAGGGGCCTGGTTTGCTCAACATGGGAACTAGATGCGAAGGTAGCCAGCTTCCAGGATGGGAAGTTAACTCTGGGAGATTGGTTTTGGGCTAAGTAGTAGACAACGAACCTGTGCACTCGGTTCCAACTTCCACAGGAGGAAGGCAGGAGGGTATAATGGAATGGAGGAAGGAGCGTTACTTTGGTTTTACCGTGGTCCGACAGGACCGGACTGCCGCTCTTAGACAGCTTCACGTAAGGAGTAGGATTGAATAGTTAGTTTTGAATTGTGGGGCTTTGTGGGCTTGCAGCATTTATTTTTGAGGGTTTTTTGGCTTGTTACGGTTTTCTGGCCTGGTGCTCTTTTATTACCAGGGGTTGGGATTTCAGGGCAGCGGCCCGGTTTTGGCCATCTCTGTCCCTAGATATTTCCTGACCCTTGTTGGTTTTCGCTTTAAAGGATGTTAAGAAGTGGGAGACAGGGAATGTTCAGCCATCTGGCTGTAAGCGAAACCGGCTGATGCTGTCGGGATAACTCCGGGTCGAATTGTGAGGTCCCCGGCCTCATCCTCTCGTTCTGGAATAACGTTTTCCTTGTGAAAAAGAAAAAAACGCGATTTAAGGCGAAAGAGAGAACAAACCCATATTGAACAGAATCAATAGATGATAAATTGTCAGAAAATATTTCCTTTTTCCTTTCTTCTTCTTTTTTTCGTTTTTTTCTTTCTTTCTGGAAAAGGAGTTCGGATGGGAGGCAACAGGCCGTACTTGGAGGACGAAGCCTGCATTTTGCCTGGTGGTCAGGATCTGTCAGCCAGCCAGATTTTTTTTTTTTTTTTTTTTTTTTTTTTAGCCAGCCATATGAAGATAATAAATTGTTAGAAAATATTTCCTTTTTCCTTTCTTCTTCTTTTTTTCTTTTTTTTCTTTCTTTTCTTTCTTTTCTTTCTTTCCGGAAAAGGAGTTCGGGTGGGAGGCAACAGGGGCATGGTCCCACTAGCAAGCGGATAGGATAGAAAAGAGTTCGTGTGGCAGTTGAGTGACCCAAATCCTGCCGTGCAGTACTCGTAATCCCACGGTCAGTATTTTACATGTTTTACCCGAAACAGTAAGGAGATCTTGGTTCCCCTCCTCCTCTCCTTAACACTGGGCATGTCAGTGCAAAGACAGCTTCCCGCCAGAATCTTTTCAATCGGTTGGGGGTGTGGCCAACCCCAAACGAGGTTGGGGTCGGCCTTAGCCCACTGGATAGAAGATTTTCAGCATTTTACTTGCTGTTGTGCAATTATCTCATTGGGTGGAGCCCTCCTTCGATCACGGAGTATATGGAGGGTGTCAGGATCACTGCTGGCAGAAGTCGATTTTATTCCAAAAAAATGTGGCAGTTACTTTCTACACTGTTGTTGCAACCACCACCATCAGATCATTTGTGATTTGTGATCTGATGGCTGGGAAGCACTCTGCCGTGATTTCAGGTGAGAGGTCTCTGTTTCTTTTTTTTTTTGCCTTTCTCCAGTTTTCTCACCCCAGAAATTCGTAATGAACCTGTCAGGCCGCTGCCACTCAGTGTCACACTGGATCGGCGACATTCCTATCCGACTGCTAATGGGACCACACCCCAGGGGCGAGGTCCCACTAGCAACGGGATAGGATAGAAACGAGTTTGTGGGGCAGTTGAGTGACCCAAATCCTGCCATGCAGTACTCGTGATCCCACGGTCAGTACTTTACATGTATAACCCGAAAAAGTAAGGAGATCTTTGTTCCCGTCCTCCTCTCCTTAACACTGGGCATGCCCGTGCAAAGAAAGCTTCCAGCCAGAATCTTTTCAATCGGCCTTAGCCCACTGGATAGAAGATTTTCAGCATTTTGCTTGCTGTTGTGCAATTATCTCATTGGGTGGAGCCCTCCTTCAATCACGGAGTATATGGAGGGTGTCAGGATTACTGCTGACAGAAGTCGATTTTATTCCAAAAAAATGTGGCGGTTACTTTGTTCACTGTTTTTGCAACCACCACCTGGGAAGCACTCTGCCGTGATTTCCGGTGGGAGGTCTCTGTTTCATTTTATTTTTTTGGTCTTTTTCCTATTTTCTCAGTCCAGAAATTCGTAATGAACGTGTCTGGCCGCTGCCACTCAGTGTCACACTGGATCGGCCACACTCCTATCCGACTGCTAATGGGACCTCGCCCCAGGCCGTACTTGGAGGACGAAGCCTGCATTTTGCCTGGTGGTCAGGATCTGTCAGCCAGCCAGATTTTTTATTTTTTTTAATTTTTTTTTAGCCAGCCAGATATGATTCTCCAGGAGACTAGAAAGTATCGCGCGCGCGGACTCTCTGAGTCTCAGCATGAGAGAGGGCCCATAGAAACTAAAGGGAGGGGAGNTCCTATCCGACTGCTAATGGGACCTCGCCCCAGGCCGTACTTGGAGGACGAAGCCTGCATTTTGCCTGGTGGTCAGGATCTGTCAGCCAGCCAGAGTTTTTATTTTTTTTTATGTTTTTTTAGCCAGCCAGATAAGATACTCCAGGAGACTGGAAGGGAGCGCGCGCGAGAGCGCGCGGGGGCGCGGGGTGGGAGGGGGGCCATAGAAGGGGGGGGGGGGGGAGGGGGGGGGGGGGAGAGTAGAAACTAGGGGTACGGGGAAGCGTCTTCGATATTGAATAGTCAATCCTTCCAAGTGAAGCAATCAATATGCTGCCAGGGTTGCCCGGGCCATAACTTGAGGAAGCGTGAAGAGCAAAATATCTTCTGTGCACCTACTTATGGGACGTTGCGTCCGGTCCTCAGCAGGTGATGCTCCCCACCAATAGCAAGGAGCTATTCTTTGTATAAAAAGAAGAAGAAGAAAAGAAAAGAAAAGAAAAGAAAAGAAAAGAAAAAACGGGAGGGGAAAAAAAAAACAAAAAACACCCATACCACTTTGGAAAGAATTGCTTATGGCAACCGGGTCGAGACTGTGGTCACCGTCGATACAAGTTCCACCACAGGTCCAGCAGCTAACAAGACGTCCCCCACCATCCTCCATGCCACTGGATTGCTTCGGACTCCTTGAGCAATGAGCTGCCTCCACTGATCTTCCAGTCGTCGCATTGGCTCCGGCGCTTTCTCTTTCATCAACCAGATAATGACGGTTATGGTGGAAACCCCCATTATGGTAAACCCCATTATGGCAGGCCCCACTTATTCCTCCTGCGAGTTGGGTGTCAGGATCTTCGTGCACCCTTCGCAACCCACTGTCATTCAACACATCAACATCATCATTATCATCAACACCGCCGTCCTGGAAAGTCACTCTTCTCCCCGGCACCGTCCCTGTGACCTGTGTCTCTGCCAATTTACACCTAGGGGAGACTTCGCTCTCCGTGTCCAAAACGCCATGGATGCAACTTTCCATTCGCAAGTCCATTGATGTTCTATCCCCACTTCCATTCTTCATGAATAGCTCCTGGGATCTTCAAAGATCTTCAGAATCGTCACAAAATGGACCAGCGCCGCTCCGCCCGCATCAGGAAAAGGGAGATTGGAAAAGCACAAATAGCCGATGGACAGATATATATTGGAAGCAGTGTGAAGAAGTCGCGAGGTTGTATTCGAAGCGGTGTGAAGAAGTCGAGGTTGTATTGGCAGCGATGTGAAGAAGTCGCGAGGTTGTATTGGAAGCGGTGTGAAGAAGTCGCGAGGTTGTATTCGAAGCAATGTGAAGAAGTCGCGAGGTTGTATTGGCAGCGATGTGAAGAAGTCGCGAGGTTGTATTGGAAGCGGTGTGAAGAAGTCGCGAGGTTGTATTCGAAGCAATGTGAAGAAGTCGCGAGGTTGTATTGGAAGCGATGTGAAGAAGTCGCGAGGTTGTATTGGAAGCGGTGCGAACAAGTCGCGAGGTTGTATTCGAAACGGTGTGAAGAAGCCGAGGTTGTATTGGAAGCGGTGTGAAGAAGTCGAGGTTCAGGAGAATGATCGGTTGTGACAAGCATATTTGTTAAGAACTGGTACAGAAAAAAAAGATGGGTGTGAAAGGATTTGTTCAGGAAAGAAGGATGTTGTTTACAGGAATTCAGATGTTGTATAGCTACTGACCTTGCTGTTGAGGTGGAATGTTGAGATTGAGGTGGAATGTTGAGAACGATAGTGATACTAAAGGAATGCAGGCGGGTAAAAGAAGACAGCAATAGTCATTTGTTTGAAAAACAAAAATGGCTGAACAAAGTGCATGGATCCTCGATCAGAAAGAATGGTGTTTCAGGTCTTCGAGACGAAGAATTAACCCCCTCCTAAGCCCTAATAACAACATACAGCAAAGACCGTCATGCCTTAAAGACATATAAGTCAAAAGAAGACATATAAGTCAAAAGTCCACACACCATAAACACTATGGACCTTGGCGACAATGACTTAACCCCCTCCTGCTCCTCTTCCCCCGCAAGTCAAGAATATACATCATTTACACAACCTACACATCCTTCCATTTGATCGAAGGATCCAAGAACAACATTGATTACTACTCACCAAGAAAAAACACGGACAGCGGCCATCTACTGGTAGTCGCTTGGTTTGGCCATTTCTTTCATTGGGCGTAGGGCCTTGCCGCGCACTACCGACCAAATGCACAGAAGACAAAAAACAAAAATTACAGCAGTGCATCGTTCCAGGGTCTAGCAGTTGGCGAGTGCCACGACGAGGCCCATGCTCACACTGGGACTTTTTCAACTCACCTGTGGACGTAATTGCGGTTAGGTGCATCCAGGTTGGACTGTAAAAGAGGTCAGATGCGTCCCGAAAAGTCGTCGTGTATGCCGTGAGTCTTGCGCGCTCAGGCCCCAGTGCGCAGCTGCTCTTTCCCCTTTCCCCCCCCCCCGTTTTCTGAAGGCCGGTGGCCTTGAGATATCATCATCATTGAACTGACCGGCCCAGCAACTCAGAAGGATTTTGTTCTGTTAATCTGATGATTCTGATCGTTAGATGACCTGCTGCAGTCCTCGCATGCAGGAAAACAGGAGGGAATACAACCCATCCTTTTTTTTTTTTCCTTTTAATGTGAGCATTTTCTTTGAGAAGAAGCAATGTTTCTTGCTGTGCGGTCTGTGAAAAAAATCACCCACACAGTTGCAGTCCGGCAACTTTCAGAAAAATGTTCTCCTTATTGTGTTCGTTCGCTCAAGATTCCATTTCTCGATTTACGCGTGTCATCCTTGCGCAGGGGCCATGCTAATCTTCTCTGTATCGTTCCAATCTTAACAGATGTCCCGAAGGACTTCGCTCAAGATTCCGATTGCCAGTTCTATTTGCTGTTGTTTTCTGACTATGTTTTTTGTGATCGACCAACCAATGTCGTATGGATCCCATATGCTTACTTGCTGAGTTTTGACTCTTTGTGAGCGTGCGTGTCCGAGTGCATGTGTACGTGTGTGCGAGACTCAATTTGCTGGGCCGAGATGGTGAGATTGATCATGACCAGGGGGTGCGCTAGGATCGTGTGATTGATCGATGGCAGTTGATGGGAATCCTCTTCAATCAGAAGAGCGCCACTGTTGTTCTGCAGGCCTCATAACGTAATGTAATGTATGAATGAAGTAATTAGCATCCAAGCAGTTTCGCAGTTCAGTTGCTGTTCGCCAGGGGGAGTTGTCGTCCGCAACAGTGCAGTGCTGTTATGGAAGACGTAATGATGGGCGTGCATCTTGGAGCATTTCCTGCAAGGCAAAAGCCAGAGAAGAAACCGAGCAGCATGTGTCAGAATCACTTCCCGGAGGAGTGTGGCAAACTATCCAGCCTCCCGTCCTTTGTCCCCCCGATGGCTTCCGTCCCTCCAGCCTCTCTCCCCCCACTCCGTCCGTCCACCCAACCTCCTCTCGATCTTCTCCAAACTTCCGGCCGAATTACCCCCACCTTCCGGCGGAGTTACCCCCTACCCTCCACCCGGCCTCCATACTCCATCTGTCATATACCTCCTCCCTCTCTGC